CACTCGTCTGACTTTTTTGGGTTATCCTAGGTTCTCTACACATATGCTGCTAGAAATGATAATTCTATGTAACTGTATTTGTGTATACCTGAATAAACTTACTTACTTACCTATAATCTTGCTGTCCTCTCCATATTCCTGTTTCCAAAGCTCATTCCTTTAGCCACAGTTTATAAACATGTTTTTTCTTGCTTTTCCAGCACGGCGAAGATAAGACAGATCACCATTGTGATGAGCCTCAACATCTTCAGCTGCTCCTTGGTGTACTGTGGATTGAGCCTCAGTGGCAACGCATACACTCTGACCCCTTCCTCTACGTCGTCATTGGGGAGGTCTAATGGAGGTACCTGGGAAACAACACTCAGGCTCCCATTATCTCCCGCTGGGGCAGGAAGAAGCCTATCATAATTGGCTGTTCGTCAGCGGTGCTTCCATTCTTTCTCTCGTCTTTATACCCAAAGTTAGTGGGCAGCATGTGGTTCATAAGATTAATGCAGTAGCTTACGACTGATCTACCTTGCCACTGATCTTAAAACTTCTAATTGCCCTGGAACAAGCGTCAGGTTATATGTACTCATCTAAATATTTGATACCTTCCGACTACAAGACATACTGTCTTATGACTCACGAAATCGTAATGACACGATTACAAACAAACCATATCAGGTATCCCTTTGGGGATACCTGATATGGATGATTGAGAAACATTGAAAATTTCGCGTTTTTAATAATGCTTTTAGTGACCCCTTAAAAATTTTTGTCAGAGCTGCCACACTTTATCCTCAGTGTATATTTTCCTCAAACCTTTAACTTCCTCCAACACTATCATGTATAACTTTAGAATGCTTTATCCAGGTCCCCTCAAATTTTCAACCGTGATCAGCTATTACTAGATAAACGTTTGTGGAAAATTAACAAGTGAAGGCGCCCCTCTATCATTGTTGTATGACCATTCCTGAAAATGATTTCCACGAAATAACTTTGGAAAGCCTTTTCCGATCAGCTTCAACAAGAAAGAGGTTGGTGTCGTTAACGGAGTGGTAGGAGCCATTCTGTCATTTTTGATCTCAAAAAAGGCATAGTAATATTTTACATTATAAAAAGTGGATATGCTTCATTTACTATAAATGTAGGTCAGCTTACTAACCAGTGTAAATTGTCCCACCCCTTGCCTTGGCAGAGAGGTGTTAGAAATGTGGAAGACTCCTGGGCCGGATGTCACACGTCTCATTGTTCGAGAAGTCTACCATTGTGTGATAACTGTAGGCGTCAGTCTTAACACACGTTTTATACATTCATGGTGGGGAAGGGGGGTTGAACCCCAAAATCTGGAGTTTTTGTCGAGTGCTTAAGGACCCACATAAGCTCTAAGAAACAGCTAAAGGAAGAGATTCTGGCGGAGATCTGGCCTGTGTGCAGAGCTCTGGGGAAGAGATTCGGGCAGAGCTGCTGCCTGTGGGGCAGAGTTCTGGGAGAGGGCTGCTAGAGTCTCTGGAGGAGACTGTTTGAAGAAATGGCTTGGAGCACGCTCCAAGCTCCTAATTTACAAATGGTTAATTAGGTCTTCCTTTTTGACCTCACAAGCACAGTTCACCTAATGACAGCACGAGAGTGCCTTGACACTGGTAGGGGGGCTCTTGAAATTTAAGGAGTTAACTTGCCCTTCTCTTGATTTTATCGAGTTTGAATGCCTCCCATTCTGCAGATGCTATAGACCCCTAGGGGTTTTAGCACTTTCTTCTGACTGAAACAAAAACTATTGTGAACGGCATCAGTCTCTACTACTGGTCCCATCATGTGCAATGAATAAAACGTTTCGCCTGGAAAAGGCTGTGCAAGTGTAGATTTTTTTGGATTCCGTGCAGTGACTGGAGAATGCATCTTCTGGTCGGCTTGAAACTTTCAGTGCTGATGTGTTTTCCTCAAAAGAAACTTCTCTTGAGTTTTAATCCGTGTCAGTTTTAATTTTCCATTTCATTTATCAAATTGGTTTCTGTGAAATATTTGAAGAATGTCTCTTCTGTTTAGAAATAAGTCACAGCTGTTGACTTTATTTAGTTATCACAAATTAAATCTACTTTTAATGAACCTTCAGCAAACCTGGGGTCCTCAATAACACTGTAAAAACATTGTGTTATGTATAAAAAAAACTTTAATAAAAATTAATTACTTGCTTAAAAGTTGGTCATTCTTGGAGAAAAGTTTGGATTAATTTTGGCTTGTATAGTAACAATACGATTTTTTTTTTAGGACATTGGAAAAAGTGGTATACTCATTTTTGTCATAATTTAATGTTGCATCCATTCACTTCAGCCTTTTCAACACTGATAATGTAATAAATACAACTTCTAAGCTGCTTCAAGCTTAATTTTCCGGGGCATTTTAGAATGGTCTCGGGTGCACTGAGGTACAGGGGACCAGGTTATGGACACAGTTCTTGGACCGAGCAGCGACCGAATATATTTATTTTGGCACAGTTTTTTCACCCACGAGATGATTTTTTTCAGGCACTCAAAAAGGGTGCACTCATGGGTGACACGTTGTACCAGTAAAGGCTTCACTGAAACTACTTTCTTGAAGAATACAAGATACTGTAACATGGCTGGAACAGCTCACAAAAAAAAAAAAAAACTTACGAGAAGTGTTGACTTTCATGTCTTAGTAATTGTTAACTTTCTTTTCCAATGTGTGTTTTTGTTGCGAACTGATGTCTGTTTACCACATGTTGGCATCTCACCTACAGTTTGCAACCACTGCTTCAGATATCTCGTGGCTGGTGATGGTGCTGGCCATGATCGGCAAACTGGCCATCAGTGGCCGCCCTTCATGGTCGTTTTCGTCTATGAGGCTGAACTCCTGCCGACGGAGGTGCGACTCCAGGGCGTCGCTGTCATCTTCGTGGCCGGCCAGATCGCCGCCACCTGTTTCTCCCTACTTAGCCGACTTCCTGGTGAATATTTCAACTTCGTGACTTTGTTTAATGTCACAGTAAATCCTAAACTCGTAAGGGGAAGTCACACAGTGCTAAGAAAATGGGAGGTAATCAGGTATATACTTGAGAAACCGGAGAGGAGCACTCATTTCTCTAATTAAGAACCCTGCACCAGTATCAAGGAACCCTCTTTGAAGGGAATAAATTAATAGATTCTGTCTGAAGGGAACCAGTCAAAAGATAAATTCTGAGAGGAACCAGTCAGTATATAGATTCATTTTGAAAGGAACTAGTCGATGGATTAAATCTCTAAGGTAGCAGTAAATGGACTGATGCTGAGAGGAACCAGTGAATAGATTAATTATGTGACGAACCAGTTCAGAGACTCGTTTTGAAATGAAGCATTCAGTAGCCAGACTCACTCTAGGCACGCTAAACTAGCAGGAAGGTAATACCTACCCACCGACAGAGTCCACTGGTACCCTGGCTGCCCTCAGTCATCTTCGGGGTCAGCTCCTTCGTCGCTGGCTTCTCCTTATTCAACCTGCCGGAGACGCGGGGTATGGCGCTGCCGGACACCATCAGTGACCTCGAGGAACTCTACAAACAGAACAAGTGAGAGTTCCACATGTCTTGTGTGTTTTGTGGGAGGGAGAGACGGGAGTTGAACCAGCCTTTCATTTTGTGTAGACTTTGGATTATTATTATTATTATTATTATTATTATTATTATTATTATTATTATTATTATTATTATGGGGAAACACTAAACCAGTAGGGGTCATACAGCGCTTGGGATATGGCAGATAATAAGATCTAATTTAAGGAAAGACAGTAGCTTCAACAATTCCTTGGATCAAGTCCCCTCACCTTGAGAGGAAGATTGGCTAATGAAATAAAAACGAAGGGAGACTGGGCAGTGTGGCTACAGTACTATGTACTTTGATGAAGAGTGCTGTGGGCTGAAAAATAATATTTGTGTGCTAATACATACATACATACTATATATATATATATATATATATATATAATATATATATATATATATATAATATATATATATATATATATTATATATATATATTGATGGGTAGGCTCAGGATGTACATGTTTATAGAGGCAACTGATATATCGGATCATTATTTAGTTGTAGCTACAGTTAGAGTAAGAGGTAGATGGATAAGAGAAAATGGCAACAAGTAAGGGGAGGTAAAGGGTGCATAAACTAAGGGAGGAGGAAGTTCGGGTGAGATATAAACAACAACTATTGGCAGAAAGGTGGGCTGGTGCAAGTATGAGTAGTGGGGGGGTTGAAGAGGGTTGGAATAGTTTTTAAAATTGCAGTATTAGAATGTGGGCAGAAGTTTGTGGTTTATAGGAGGGTGGGGCAGGGGAAGAGGAGTGATTGGTGGAATGACGAAGTAAGAGGGTGTGATAAAAGAGAAAAAGGTAGCTTCTGAGAGGTTTTTACAAAGCAGAAGTGTTATAAGAAGAGTAGAGTATATGGAGAGTAAAAGAAAGGTGAAGAGAGTGGTGAGAGAGTGTAAAAGGAGAGCAGATGATAGGGTGGGAGAGGCACTGTCAAGAAAATTTGCAGAAAATAAGAAAAAAATTTGGAATGAGATAAACAAGGTAAGAAAACCTAGAGAACAAATGGATTTGTCAGTTAAAAACAGAGTAGGGGAGTTAGTGGATGGGAGATGGAGGTATTGGGTAGATGGTGGAAAATTTTGAGAAACTTTTAAATGTAATGAAGAAAGGGAGGCGATAATTCATGCACTGGCCAGGGAGGTATACCATCTTTTAGGAGTGAAGAGGAACAGGATGTGAGTGTGGGGTAGGTACGTGAGGCATTACTAGAATGAAAGGGGTAAAGCGTTGGAACTGATGGGATCATGACAGAAATGTTAAAAGCATGTAGAGGATATAGTGTTGGAGTGGGTTTGGGATTTTTGTTAATAATGTATAAAAGGGGAAGGTACCTAGGGTTGGCAAAAGGAGAAGCCCTTTTTT